ACCATGGTGTTACTGTGCTTGATTGGGCAGCAAACTCACCTGACTGAATCCCATAGAGAATCTATGGGGTATTGTCAAGAGGAAGATGAGAGACACCAGACCCAACAATGCAGATGACCTGAAGGCCGCTATCAAAGCAACCTGGGCTTCCATTACACCTCAGCAGTGCCACAAACTGATCACCTCCATGCCACGCCGCACTGATGCAGTAATTCATGCAAAAGGAGGCCCAACCAAGTATTGAGTACATGTACAGTAAATGAACATACTTTCCAGAAGGCCAACAATTCACTAAAAATGTTTTTTTTATTGGTCTTATGAAGTATTCTAATTTGTTGAGATAGTGAATTGATGGTTTTTTTGTTAAATGTGAGCCAAAATCATCACAATTAAATGAACCAAAGACTTAAACTACTTCAGTCTGAGTGCACTGAATTTATTTAATACACGAGTTTCACAATTTGAGTTGAATTACTGAAATAAATGAACTTTTCCATGACATTCTAATTTATTGAGATGCACCTGTACATTCCTTCTGCATTTCAAGCCTACAGAATTGCATAATTATTAGACAAGTTGATATTCTGATCTTATTTTTTCAAGCACATTATAAACACAAATTATAAATAAAGGCATGACCATGACAATGAAATGCTCATTGGCTTAGAAATTATGCATGCACTGTAAGTAACTGGAACTATTAAATAGAAAACTATTTTTGACGTGTTTGTATATAATTGGATGAAAAAAAGAAAGTAATTACAGATCATTACTGTCATTTCTGAGTACTCTAGTTCTCAAGTGCTCATGCTCATTCCTATTAGGAACACCACAGCTGTTGTGGATGTATATCAGCTGTTTATAGATGCATTTTTCTTTGAAAAAAAATTTAGTGTTTTGATTTGAAGACATCTCTTTCAGGATTCATGAAGCAGGAAGAACCATTATAGCATCTTTAACATGAAAACTTTAGAGGTTTTTAAATGTATGAACGATTCCTTCTTGAAGTCAAGCATAGCACACACACCTTTCAGTCAAAGCGTGACTCTTTTCATGTGCATAACTTTATTGATGCCTGCTTCACAGCTTTCATATGTAATGAAGGAATTCACCAGTCCTTCCAGTTCAAACCTTCCATCAACACATGGCTGCTGTACCTAATGGATTTATGTTATTGGTGGTAATCCAAAGCCCATGTATTTGGTACCTCCAAAGCATCTAATCACACGAAGTCACATGGACACACGCACACACTCATGCACAGACACAGCAGCTGGGAAGCGGTGATTGAGTTTGTGTAGGTATTAATGCTTTGTATTTGAATAATATGCAAACAGTTGACAAGCTGCAGCAAACTCCTGCTGCTTCTGAAAATGAACAAACAGTAATGTGTGGAAAGATAAGACTTCCCTCCATTTTTTTCCTTTTGAAATGACTGCCTTTGCTGTTTCTTTGTGCTGTCACTGAAAGGGGTCAAATACATTACCCACTCCCTGACTAACACTGAGAAAATCTACTTTTTCCATCTGTTTCGCTTTTTGTTTGTGTTTACCTCATTCACATAATTAAAGATGTTTGTGCATTCATATTGGCTGAAAAACATTGCATTGAAAGCTGATTTCCAAATGTAGCAGTGTTGGGCATAAAAGATATATAAATGTAATGAGCTAATGCAGCAATTCTTGAGCATTTTGTCATAATTTCAATATGTTCAGTTTTGTCAAATGGAAATTTACTTAATCCATTTGTGTGACTACATGAATCATTTTTATTGCATTGACTGAAACAGGGCAGTGGAGTTCTAGATCCCATGATGCTTTGCATCTGACTGGAGCAGAAGAATAAATTAAATATTATTTTGTGTTTTTGAATGAAAAAAAACAGGGAGACATTTTAAAGTTTAATGTTCGCTGTAACTAACCTGAAAACGTTTGAATTACTCACATCTACTATTATTGGTACTTATTCAATCAACTAAGTTTCTTTACTTGCATTGCGCAAAGTGTTTGAGTCGAGCCTTCATTGTAATTTTTGGTTATGAAAACTAATTTCCAACATGTAGAACCACTGCAATTTAATTAAGTTTAGCCAAAGAATTAACATTGGGTCTGTTTGTTCTGATTAATATTCTAGAAACTAAGACATTCAGCAATTAATTTAAGTGTTAACAACGTAGGAATCTTATGGGGTGTTAAACATTAATGCCCTTGAATGGGGCCACGAGAATAGAGAAACAATTCTGAGATTAAATTACCGCACCACTGCACCACAACACACAATCAATTTCCCTCCTTTTTCCTTTAACAGAACACAAGCCTAGACTTATGTCATTTCCTTTTTTCCCGGTGCATTCTTTCTAGTAATCTCTGTCTTTTTTTCCTCTGCCACTTTTTCAGAGCACCTGAGGGCGCATCTGGAGGAGTACATGTCCAGATTTCCTAAGGTCCGTATCGTGCGCACCAAGAAGCGAGAGGGTCTGATCCGCACACGGCTGCTGGGAGCGTCGGTGGCTAGAGGAGAAGTCCTTACTTTCCTGGATTCTCACTGTGAAGCCAACATCAACTGGCTGCCGCCCCTGCTTGGTGAGTCCAGATAAAAAACTGCCTACCCTGGAGGCAGCACGTAACCACAGATTTCTCTGTTTTTTATCACTGTGAGAAAACACAAGCCACTGAAAATCCCACAGAATGTTCTTTGTGCTTATCTTTCTCTTTTGAATCTAGCAATTTCAAAATTCAATTGGTTTTTCCTGTCCAAAGTCTTTCCCCCTGCAGTCGGTTGATTAAAAAAAAACTAAAATCCTCCATCTCCTTGTTTCTTGTCTGTGGTTTGTTTTCAGACTCATTGAGGATAGAATCTATAGCGTATCCCGCTGCGCCACATGAGCATTGCAAATCCAGACGTTTTTTTTCATGAGCTTGACCCTGTTATAAGATGTTTTAAAATGCCTACTTCAGCAAATGTTTTGCACATATCGATGCTTATTGATCTGATGCAAGCTTGATTTTAGTTAGTAGGCTTGATCTGTCGTTTTTTTTTTTTTTGCTGGGCTGAACATCAGGCGGTCATCTCAGAGATGTGGGCACAGCACGGCGAGTTCTAATTGGTTACAGTGAGCCTTTGAGAGGCATGCTGGGATGCGGCCTGGCATGTATGATTAGAGTGGAGCTGATGCACAAGCGCGCGGCAGGTACTGTGTCGCAGGCTGTTTGAAACAGAGCTCTGATCTGTAATATAAAGGACTGGGCCCCACCAGTCTTCTCATCAGACCATTGCTTGATAGATAGGATGCAACCAGACTATTTATAAATGGTGTTTGGCCAGATACGCCTAGGTTTCATGCCTTTAAAATGGAATGAAAAAAACTATTTATTTAATGTCATTCACAGTGCTTCATGTGTCATTGCATCCTAATTATTTTTTTATTGTATTTATTTATTTATTTATTTATATAGCTCAGAACATTTTACTGAAGGTTTTTTTTTTTATCACTATGTTGTAAACACCTTCAATACCACGACTGAGGTGCCCTTGAGCAAGGCACCGAACCCCCAACTGCTCCCCGGGCGCCGCAGCATAAATGGCTGCCCACTGCTCCGGGTGTGTGTTCACGGTGTGTGTGTGTTCACTGCTGTGTGTGTGCACTTTGGATGGGATAAATGCAGAGCACTAATTCCGAGTATGGGTCACCATACTTGGCCACATGTCAC